ATAATATGATCTTCTGTACATTTATATCAAAATGTCCTGGAACTGCATGGTTAATCAAATAAATGAATCCTATCGAGAATGCGTGCCTATTTTTGAAATTTTCGATTACCATTCGGAAGTGCATCTTATATATAGCCGATTTAAACTATATATAAGACAATATTGCTGTTAATTAATCATTACTATGTTTGTCAATCTTCAAGTGAATATTCAGAAATGGAAATAAACTACATATCTTAAATTTGGATCCAATGTATATAAGATGACAATATGAATGACTTAAATAATTAGATTTATGTGAATGTGTATGAACCACTGTGTATTTATATAGAAATGTCCTGGAACTGTATGGTTATTCGAATAATCGAAACCTATCGAGAATGCGCGATTATTTTTTAAAGTTTTGATTACCATTCAGAAGTTCATCTTATATATGGCCAATTTAACCCATATATAAGATTATCGTGCTGTTTACAAATCATTACTATATTTGTCAATCTTCAAGTGATCATTCAGAAATCGAAAAAAACAACATATCTCAAAATTTTATCCAATTAATGCAAGACGACGTTATATATGATTCAAGTAATGAGATTTATGTGAATGTATATGATCTTCTCTGTATTTATATCGAAATGTCCTGGAACTGCATGGTTAATCAAATAATCGAAACCTATCGAGAATGCGTGCCTACTTTTGAAATTTTCGATTACTGTTCGGAAGTGCATCTTATATATAGCCGATTCAACCAATATATAAGACAATGTTGCTGTTAACTAATCATTACTATGTTTGTCAATCTTCAAGTGATTATTCAGAAATGGAAATAAAGTACATATCTCAAATTTTGATCCAATGTATGAAAGACGACAATATGAATGACTTAAATAATCAGATTTATGTGAATGTATATAAACCAATGTTTATTTATATCGAAATGTCCTGGAACTGTATGGTTAATCGAATAATCGAAACCTATCGAGAATGCGCGATTATTTTTTAAATTGTTGATTACCATTCAGAAGTTCATTTTATATATGGCCAATTTAACCAATATATAAGATAATCTTGCTGTTAACAAATCATTACTATGTTTGTCAATCTTCAAGTGATCATTCAGAAATGGAAAAAACAACATATCTCGAAATTTGATCCAATTAATGCAAGACGACGTTATATATGATTCAAGTAATCAGATTTATGTGAATGTATATGATATTCTGTGTATTTATATCGAAATGTCCTGGAACTGCATGGTTAATCAAATATTCCAAATGTAATGAAAATGCGTAAATATTTTTTAAAATTTCGATTACCATTCGAGAGTACATCCTATATATGACCGATTTAACCTATATATAAAGCAATGTTGCTGTTAATAAATCATTACTATGTTTCTCAATTTTCAAGCTACCATTCAAAAATGGAAATAAACAACATATATCTCGAATTTTGATCCAATTCATGAAAGACGACATTATATATGATTCAAATAATCAGATTTATGTGAATGTATATGATCTGTAGTGTATTTATATTGAAATGTCCTGGAACTGCATGGTTAATCAAAAAATCGAAATTTAATGAGAATGCGTGAATATTTTTGAAAATTTCGAATAACATTTGAAAGTGCATTTTATATATGACCGATTTAACCTGTATATAAGACGAATAAAAAATGTCCCGGAACTGACCGTTGGATATATATATATATATATATATATATATATATATATATATATATATATATATATATATATATATATATATATACAGTGTGTCGCATTTAATATGAAGACACCCCTATATTTTGGCTATCTAAATGAATACAGATTTGAAATTTTGCACAGTCATACAGGGTGATGGTTCCCATTTTTCAAGATACTCAACTTAAATTTAAATTTTAAACGCGGCATACTGCGAATCCACAAACAGGATCAATTTTCGATATTTTTCTTCACGTTAGAGATATCAGAAAAAGTTATTTGAAAAAGTTGTTCCGAATATTATTCTAACCCCACATACTAAATTTCGTGATAAAATTCGCATTTTGAGTTTTTTCATTTTTTTGGTCAATATACAAAATTATTAAAAGTTGATTTTTTTTATTCGATAAACTAGCGTGCCATGGATAGAAATATTTTGACACTTGTGAAATCATTAATGTCAATCATGGCACACTAGTTTATCGAATAAAAAAAATCAACTTTTAATAATTTTGTATATTGACCAAAAAAATGAAAAAACTCAAAATGCGAATTTTATCATGAAATTTGGTATGTGGGGTTAGAATAATATTCGGAACAACTTTTTCAAATAACTTTTTCTGATATCTCTAACGCGAAGAAAAATATAGAAAATTGACCCTGTTTGTGGGTTCGCAGTAGGCCGCGTTTAAAATTTAAATTTCAGTTAAGTATCTTGAAAAATGGGAACCATCACCCTGTATGACTGTGCAAAATTTCAAATCTGTATTTATTTAGATATACAAAATATAGGGGTGTCTTCATCTTAAATGCGACACACTGTATATAATTAAGCAATATTTTTTAATTACAATTATACAGTTATATAAAATTTTATTATATATATAAATATATAATTATATAAATTAAAATATTTTTTCTTTCTTTCTTAGTGTTCAATAATTTCGAATGATGATGCCGGATTCTTTTTTCCTATATCCACTGATCCTCTGTAGATTAAATTATATTTGTCACTTTTAAATTCCTCTATGAATGGAGCATACGTTTCCGTTACTCGCTTCGGCAGGAAGACTAACTACTGCCTAATCCAGTTCCAGCAATACCGAGTCACCAAATTTCGTCATTACCAGGGATCCTTTTGTTATTTTATGAGGATGATTCAGCTCCAACTCCCCAATTTTTCTAATTGGTTTATTTTCTTTAATTAAAGAACATTCATTTAGTTTACTTAAGTTCATCTATAAACGAAAATTTTTAAATGTTAATAACAGAATTACAGAATCCGCTATCGTGTAATACGAACGATACGGAATATAATGAGCTTAGGCGTGGTTGTCAAATGTTGCCGAATTAACCGTTTCAAGTGATTAAATACTCTAAAAAATATACCGAAGGTCCAGAGCGAAAACACGATAAGTAATAAAATTTAGCTATGAAGATATTCCCGTTTAAGTATGTTGTTGTTCTTTTAATTACAAATAAATGCTTTTGATGGTTTGCCTGCAGCAGTTTATAGTACATATTACTTATAACGTTTAAACAAATTGCTTTATTTTTTTTTTATAAATTTTAGTTTGCTGTAGATGTACTAAAATAAAGACATGATATCAAATTTTCGCTCTATTGATTAATAGTTTCGAAAAAAAAAAAAAGATCTTTACTCCATATATATTGATTTTTCCGAATACCAGTTAACAATACTTAGATACGAAATTTCACAAAACGGAGTATATTAAGTAGTTTTGGGGTAACCATGATGTATAGTTATAAAGGTGGGTTACCCCAAAACCACCCCTTAACATATTTCAATTAATTCTTACTCGCCTCCAAATTAAGAATTATGAAGCGCCTAGATAATTTACCAAAGATAGATTTTTTAAGTTAAACGGTTGATGCAGAGATATTAAATTTTTTAGAAATGTATGGTCCCACTTTAGGTCTCCGTAACTCCTTAGGGATACAACTTGGTATAGAGATAAATTGCGTTAAATCATCATATTTTGAGGTGCCCAACACGCACCTATTCTGTGTCGGTACTTATGCGGAACACCTTGTATATATTTGTATTAAGTATGATGGTGGGTGAGGTTTTCCGGGTTTTCCTCACCTGTAAGACAAATGGCACCATCAATCATCTTTAAGTCGCCCCGGAGCGCCACGGCAAATAATAATAATAGCCGTCCCTTTCCCTGCACAAGCTCATCTTTTGTGGTTAAAATTCACTCGCAAGGGGATGAATTAGGGAGAGTACTATTATTATATAGGGTGTGTCTCTCAAAAGTAGCCTCCGTAGCCTCTTCGTTGACTAGGCCACGAGCCGCTTTTGGTATACTGCCTTCTTAGCAATAAGATCGTTAATAAAAAACAGGCGACCCAGAAATTCTGTACTCCAGGGTAGCTATTCTTGAATTCGAGGGAATAGAAAACCGGTTTTGCATCTTTATCAACAACGCGCGAAATTTGTATTTTTGTCTCATTCTTCCCTCAAAATTTCTACTCCCTGAGATTCAAGAATAGATACCCAGAAATTCTTCTCGTAGAACACGCCTCCCTGATACGATTTTGAACAATTATAATCTCAACTGAATGTATCACTCCATTTTCACAGTTCATCGCGGCAGTTGCATTTTCTGTTCGATAAATCGTTGTCGTCTGCATTTGTACAGTTTTATTGTTTGTATGAATGGCAACGTATGATATTCCTTCGATTGCTCAGTTTATGGAAAATCTTGCTGTAAGCGGACACGTCCTTAGGAAAGGTCCTAAAGGTGCGTATTCATTTGCACCAAAATACCCCGAACGAACCGAACGCGTCGCGCGGTAAGCAGTTGCAACAAACATTTTGCGCAGATAATTCAGGCTTTTTGAAGAAGTTTGCAGTTCCCATCAGTAATCAATAGGTTCTTTCGTTCGTCCCACTAGTGTAGGAATGAACTACACTAACGTACACTAAACCTTTCGTTTGGGCCGGTGTAAAACCCACTATACCTTCCTGTCGGCGATGTGGTGTCCACTGGTGGATATTTTCTCCACCAGCTATTTAGCAGGAGTGAATTACACTCGACATGTATATAAGGAATAAGGAGGAAGTAAACTAGGGCAAATTATGTGGTGTAAATGGTGTAATTTACACTTGTGGAAACTGCACCAACAACGAACGAAAGAACCTATTGTTGTTGCGCAGTAGCATAATAAATACACCCTAAATTCGTCATCAGCTCTTGGACTATATCCTCAAAGTCTTATTTCGTTTCAAATGTTCTTATAATCAAACAAAACTTTTTTTAATTGTAGATTACATGTTATTTTACTAGAAAAAATAATTAAAAACGATGTATTTTATAAAAGTCCAAAGAGTATAGAATATGTTCGACATATTTTGAATTTTATTTTGACCAACATTACCTTACTGAAAGATATTCATTCAAATGAAATATTATCATGGCTTTTAAACTTATTGACAACTATTATCCAAAAGTAAGTACTTACCCATTTGTATAAAACACTGAAATGTACCTATGTAAAAAGTTTACCCAACTTTTACAGGGCCAAGGATTTTGAAAAGGTCACAAAATTTTTACAAAACAAGAAAGAAAAATTATTTGAAACAGTTTCGATGTGTTCCAAATTTAGTTTCTTCAATATTAGTCATGTAAATGATTTCAAATCAGTTATGTATGAAATATTAATGTTTGACGGTTTCTTACATGATGGACATTCCAAAACTTTTATGGAAATGGTAAACATCTTCATGGATTTTAAAGCGCATTATGAAATTTCTATTTGGACCGAGATAGTAATCGAAAAGTAAGTTTAATTTATGAATAATAACAATGTTAATTAGGATATCGTTTTAATGACAATAATTATATAAAATATACAGGGTGCATAGGAAGTTCGGTGTATCTACTCCAAAATTTATAGAATTCATTAAAACCAAATGAAAGACTTGAACATCAAATCGTAACTTATTTAATATTGCATTCCTGAGAACTAATGACAGCCTCCCATTTGTCTTGGCATACCTTAAAAAAAAAGTTTGATGTATACTTTTGTTTCATATAGGTGTACGGTACAATTCCAAATGTCATTACATTCCTAAATGGCATTCAGTTCATTTTGTAGATCATGTACTGTTCTAAATGTCGTTTTCGGTTGTAGTCCTCAATTTTTTCCACACAATCTTCGACATAAATTAAAGGATGTTGTGCTCTTTTTGGTAACTTTTTGCAAGTGTTGATTCCATGTTAACCTGTAGTCAAAGATGACTCCCAAGTATTTGGCCTTTTGAGCAAATGGAATATTCACTTCTTTCAGTACTGGTGACTTTAGTCTTGTCAGTACTTTGTATCGAGCATTTTGATACATAGAATAAGTAGAATATACATTAGCTAACCACTAAATCTCTGCAACAAATACACTTAATCGCTTCTCGCTTCTATCTTACGAGAGTTTTGATCACTTCTTTCTCTCTACCTCTGGTAGTGTGTCGTGTCATCGTCGCGTAGATGATTTTTTTCTATCGACTTTAAATATAAACGCTATACAAGGTGCATTCGAAAAGTCTCTTGAAATAATAAATATAAAAATACGAAAAAATAAAATTCTAACTTTTAAAAAATACAACTTTTTGTTTTGTAAAGTTAGCTATTGTAGTTTTGTAAGGGGTTTACTGTTAGTTCATCCTCTCTGCACTACTCGTCAACGATGTTTAGAGCGGTTTGTGTGCGCTCCGATATTGTAGTACCTATGTGAACTTTTGCCCCCTACGACGATCGCCAGATTATCGGCATACTCTAGGCAGTAAAAGTCTGCAGATATTAACCTTTTTATGAGTTCGTCCACTAGGACTGACCAAAGGAGAGGTGATAGAAATTCTCCCTGGGGGCAGCCCATGCCTGCTTTAGCGGTCCTTGTAGCTTCACGTAGAGATAATGTTATCTCTTTATTCTAGGCTGGCTTTTATCCACTGACACTGGACTACTGGTACCCCTTTCGTTGCTAGGACATTAATTATATATCTTGTATGGGCAATATTAAAAGCACCCTCAATATCTACGGAAGTTACTACTGCCATTTCTTTATCCTCCGGGGATTTTAAAAATAACCTTTCAGAGCCAAATCGGTTAACTTACCTGGCGTATTTACATATTGGCGGTCGATGAGAGGATTTTCTCTCAGTATTTCTTCTCGTATATATAAAGTGTTTCTAGCGTTTTCAGCATGAATGACGATAGACTGATTGGGCGGCACGACTTTGTTGTCATATCATTAATCCTTCCTACTTTAGAAAGGTAAATGACTTGCGCCTTTTGCCACGCCTTTGTTTTATGTCGCCAGGAGATACTTGCCTTAAATATGCGACAAAGTTTCTTGTCCTTCTATAGTAGAATTGAATAAATTCCATCTATTCCTGGGGATTTGTATGGCTGACATTTGTTATTAGCCCATTTAATTTTGTTCGGCCTCGATATTTCTGTAGCTAGCCTCCATTCCAAAGGAGTTAGCCTACCAGATATTCTTTGAGGGCTGTATGTTACTATCGGGTCTAACAAAATTTCTGCGGCATTGTTAACGTTTACTCGAAAGTTTTTGTATAGGTTCTGTAATATATTGGAATAAATATGTGATGCGTATCACCCTGTAATAATATCAATGTTTGGCGATAGCCGTTTTTTGTATTAATATTGAGTTTACCTTCTTGTGGAATATACCGAAATAAAGTAAGTTATAGTACAACATTTATTTGTTTTATTTCTCATAATAAATTCGCTCCGATAAAATTAATAACTGAAAATATTAAATAATTAGTAATTAATTGAAGATATTACAGGTTCTATCATCTTTTCTAAAAAATTCAACCTGGTTTGCGGTACCCTCTTTAGCTAGGACTTTATGGATTCTAGAGCGTGTGGGTATTTCAGAATCACAGAGTTTCCTTCGCGATTGTCTTTTGGGCTTTCTTATCTTCTTGTTGTACTGCATGAGTTTAGCCCTATATAGAGCCCAGTCTTCAGTTGATTTGGCTTTATTAAATAGCTTTCGCACTTCACCTCTAAGGCGTTCCAAGTGTTTGTAAGCTGTTATAATGGCCTTACTTGGTCTACTGCTCGACTAAGGCCTTGTTTACCTGTTATTTCCACCATACCCTCTTCGAAATACTCTCAAAGTGATGTTGAATACCTTTCCCAGTTCGTCTCTCTACGATTCCTGTATTTGGTTTAAATTCGAGGTAGGGTAATTAGATGAAATCTAATCTGTCTGTGGTCTGAGAACGATGGTTCGCCTGACACATGCCAATTTGAAATGTTATCACTTGTTTTAGTCGAGCACATAGTCATATCTAGGACTTGTGTTACCTATATTAGTAATTACTTAACCTTCAGATAACATGAATTACAATATTCACCTCTTGTATTGATGTACGTGCTTCCCCAAACGGTATGGTAAGCATTGGTATCGTATCCTATTATAAGTTGGAAGTTAGCTCTTGCCTTATACGATACTATTTCGCCTATTATATGCGGGGGACATAGCTCCTCGCCTAGGAAATATTCAGAACAGACTAGCCATCCTTTTGTTCCTCCCTCTGACGGCCTAGTTAGGAGAGCTGTAATAATATCAGCGGTGCACAGTACCGGTATTGGTACACAATTTGTCCTATTGTTGTATAAGATACATGCGCGAGGTCTTTTAGACCTTTCGTTATATAATATCTTACCTTAGTTGTGTTTTAGGCCTGCTACCATCCCGTCATCTAACCAGAGTTCTTGCAAAAAGGCTAACTTTTGACCCACTTTGTTAAACCTCCTACATACTGTAGCGGTGGCTGCCTTGGCATGTAGGAGGTTCATCTGAAGAACCCTGATCCTTCTGCTTAGCTCTGTGAACTGGACAGTTTGTCTGCCTTCTTAGAGGACTCTCCAATTTTCATAGGTACAGCCTCCTCTTGGGCTTCGTGCCTCTTAAAGGGACTGGCCCCACTGTGGGAAGACTAAACCTCGTCGTCCTCTACCAAGGTTTTCTCCTCTGCAAAGGTGTCCTCTCCCTCGAATCGGTAACGCATGGCGATTTGTAATATGGATGCCATATCAACAGAAATTAAATTACTGCTAATACGGCACCCATCAAATCTTATAACGAACAATGCAAATTGATTAAAAATTAACATGGTCTGCTGTTGGATTCGAAGCCGGGTATGTATCTAACACAAAGTTGCCTATAAGTGAATATAATCCATATTAGGTTTTTGTTATATTGAAATAAACCTTCACGAAATCACAGAAGAAACGAATATAGAAATAAAATAGTTAAAAAAAAATTAATTTCAAATATATTATTTACAGATTCTTATGAATTGAGTTCAACTTCCTTGGAAAATAAATTAAAATGTTCTTATTTTCTAAGAAGCAAATCTATTCAATACAACATCATAATCTATTTCATTTTATCCATGAAAGTGTAAAATAGATAATCTTACTATAGTCCCTCTCTCGACTTATAACATAGTAATTTGAGACATTTCAAGGACGAAAATGAGCGTTCAGCAAATACAACGCTAAATCAATAAAATTGGAAAAGTACCCTTAATTACACATTCACCATGAAAGTGTAAAACGGCTAAACCTACTATTCTCTCTCTATTATAATATAATAATTTGAGGCGTTTCAAGGAGTTATCCCTATTACACATTTTCAAGACATTCACCGCACTTTCTTGAATAGGATCTTCGGTTGTTCCGAATTTTTCCGGTTGTAAATAAGGCTTGAATTATCTGCCATTATATTCAATTCTGTTTGGTTTCTCTTCAGGATGAGGTAAGGTATCAGGCTATTGATTTCTAAATTTATAGGCCATACTTTTTCTGGGAGGGGTAATTACCCCTTATTACCCCTTCCGTAGCGACATTGACTCGACATACACAAATATAGGCTCAGTGGAATAAAAATATTCGAAATAAAATCAGCTTTCCATTTGGGACACTGGGACGCCTGGACACATTTCATAACCCTTAAGCGTGCAAACCTCGATTCAAAACAAAAACCGACTCTCAGACTTCGCGACCGGTACCCGGAGATTCCTATACAAGGTGTGTCCCAGTTTACCTTTTTATATTACTTAATAGATCTGTTATTTTATTTCTGTTTAATGATCATTGAATAATTAACTTCGTACATGATCGGGTCTTAAAACAAACCCACGTTTAAATAAATAAATGCTCAGGATGTTATTTTGGTAACAAAAAACCGTTACATACTTTTTCGCAAAACTGGTTTTTATTTATTATAATATTGGTAGTTTTTAAATATTTTTTAAATCGATAATAGACCATTAATATTATTGAATATATTTTTAGATATCACATATCATCAGAAATTTTCAGTGTGTTTTCAACATGGTTGCTGAAAAATGGAATTACCTTCTTAGTTGAGGTAGGTAATATATTTTCAAAGTTAAAAATTAAATGAACTATGAAGAAGACAAACTTAGGATCTTCTAGTTTCTGTAATTAAAAATAAATTTCAGAGCAACGAAGAATTGTTGTTGGCAAAACTACTAAAGATTATTAATTGCTTATACACGAAGTACGAAAGATCAGACACATGTAAGGATAATAAGAAGAACGCAATAGAATGTAGCATCAACTTTTTAACGCAAAACGTAGAATTCCTTGTATCCTTTTTCTCAAAACCCAATTTGAGAAAGGATTCGGCCAAATTGTTTGCTTTCGTACTCGCAGCTCAAAATTTGGAAAACAGCTGGGACTACTTTTATAAAAAGATAGTTAATCTGCCTGTAGACCCTTCAGAATGGGTCCGTTCTGAGCCGGAGTTGTTTCTGAGAATTTGTAACTTACTGTGCGAAAATAATAGGTAAAATATTCGACCGTAAAGCTACCATTTGGGAAGGCGCGACCCGAGACCGACTTTAAGCGTAAGACGACAGCGAGGGAGACCGAAACGGTTTCTATGAAACACATTTGAGGAGGCACGACAGACGACAGCAGTTTTAGCACGGTAGGATTTGCTGCGTAGAATTTGCTGCCTGTCGTCTTCCTTTGTTGCGCGTTCCCAAATGGTACCTTTATAGTTTGTTTCTTTTGTATAATAATAAAAACAGGAATACAGAGTGGCGAAAATTTTATTAAACACTATGAGGATTTCGTTAACCGTTATAGATACAAAGTTGGTTAAATGGGAAAACAGGTGAGCGTTCGTTCAAGAAGAATTTGTTGGTCCGTTCAAAATTTAAATATCAGGTCTGGTTTCAGAGATATTCGGGCAAAACTGAAATTGGCGATTTCATTTTATATTTAATTAACACTTTTGTTTTTAAATATTGAAAAACACACACACACACACACACACACACACACACACACACACACACACACACACACACACATCCACTCCAGGAACACACATTTAGGATACGCAGAATACTGCTGTTTTATTATAGGCGGTTGTCATATATTGTATTATCCGAGTTGCGCAGTGTATAAACTGGAACATTGAGATCAAAAGTGCCGACGCAGAGTGAGCAATCCCATTCTTTAGCTATAAACAGTGGCATAGGAATCAAAATGGCCGCGCCCTATATTGGGCGTATCGGATATCTCTCTTGCACCGTATAGTAATCAAAGTATGTGGTCATAACGAAATCTAAATCTAAGAAATCTAATAAATGAAATAAAAAGTGGGTACAGATCCGTATTAAAAAAATACTTGAGAGAGGCGCTTTTAAGATGAAATATCATTTTGAAAGTGTTTATAAAGCTATGTCAAGAGGTATTTGAGGACCAACAAAAAAGTTTGCTAAAATGTTTATCTATATTTTAAACAAATAAAAAATCGTCAATTTCGGTTTGGCCCAAATATCTCAGATCTTTTTTCATTATTTTTTGAAAATACGCATCTTTTTTGAAACCAACTTTGTAACTATAACGGTTAACCACATCCTCACAGTGCATAATAATATTTTTGCTACCCCATATCCAACTTTTCCGTAGGATCCTATGGCCACCCAACAAAATTCTACAAATAATTGGTTCAATAATTTATTCCTATCGAAGGTACTCTTTAAAACCCAGCCTACTGAAAATTATGTGCTATATGTATCCCCTGTTGATGGCAGAATGTATCACAAAAAGAAACGCAATCTTGGGAGACGATTTGATGATAATCATATCAAGACAACATTATAAGTTAGAAACGATTTTTTCTCTTCATCTAAGTCAGTTGAACTGGATTCTGCGAAAAGGGGAAAATTTCTTGAAAAAATTGATGATCTGCTTTTGGTTGAATCATAACGGCGATTTGGAAATTTTAAAAAAGTGTATTTTAAGTGCAAACATGCAGAAATTATTAATAAGTATCATTATTGATGTTAATACTGATTTTCCAATCAGTTTGAAGTAAGTATACAAATGACCCAGCGGTTGTTTATACGTAGGTACGTCATACCTAATATGCATAAGAAATTTTAGTCAAAATAACACTGTCTTACTATGGTAATGGTTAGAGTCATGTATTAAAAAGGGAATTGAAATAATAGTTTCAATTCCGATATTAAAAGTAATTTTGACAGCTACTAGATAACCAAGAGCGATATTTTTTATGCCCTCCGTAGTGGTCACAGGCACCAGTATAGGGTGTCCAGTTGTGTGGCTGAATATTTCACATGTTTTAAAATATGTGAAACATTTTTACCTAATTGTAATTGAAATAGTATTATTTTCTGTCAGAATGATTTGATATTAGTATATAAATCAGGGAGGAGCTGGTTTTCTCCTTGCAATCTCAAATGCAGTTCGTTCACATGTTTTGTCAAATCGGCATAGAATGCTAACTTCCACAGCCATTCGCTATTTTGTAATTCGGTAAGAGGGCGATGCTTTTCATTCCAAAAATTTTCAATCACTGCTCGAAGTTCAAAAAAGCGCTGAAGGACTTTTCCGCAACTAAGCCAGCGTACGGCAGTATGATATAGTAAGACATTTTCTCCCATCTCTTCAATAAACTCGCGGAATTGTCTGTGATTTAGCTCAGTGGATCTGATGAAATTAACAACTGATATGACTGGTTTTAGAACTTCAGACATATCCAAACATTTTTCGCACAAGGATTAAATAGTTAGGCATTGCCGTGCCACTTTTTTGGGCTTTTTGTATTCGGCTAACATGTTCTTGCATTACAGAGTCAAATTATGCAATAAATTCAATAGCTTTAAGGAAGTTACCATTATTATTTTCATATAATTTATTACACGGACCACGTAAAGCAAGGCATTGCCTAGATAAAAACTATATAACACAAATAATTCTTTCAATAACACCATACCAATATTTTTTTTCTACTTCAATTAAACGTAACTCTTTTTGATTTATCGTACATTGTTTGGATAACATATTTAACAAATTAAACCAAGATTTGACGTTCTCGTTATGAAAAACACCTTTATCGTGTCTTGATAAAATTTGTGTCAAATGTTGCCAATCAGAACATCCCTGTTTACAAGATAAATTTGTTGTTGAACTAGAACTAGAGATTTTGCCAAAGATTTTACAGCAAAAGCAGTAAATCGAATTTTTAGATTCAGAATAGATTAACCACCTCCTTTTAGTTTTTTCGCCGTTTGGAAGTTGACGGTAATAATAATTTTTAGAAAACTTACGCCCACCTTCACTTATTGGAAAGTTCTCAAGAATTACTTAAGAGGGTCCTTTTTCAACTAAAGTTCTTGCAGAGTTAGCAGTTATAATGTCTGGCCATTCCCCAGGATCTTAAGATAACATTGATAACAAAATATCTTCGTCTTCGTCCAAATTCATTTGCATGGTAACTTCCGAATTTGATTCTATGTCGTCATTGTCGTCACTTTTGGTCATTTGAGTTTCATCTTCAATCTCCTCCGTAAAACACGTTGACGTAAAACCAGATCTTTCGTTTACTACTGAGGTTCCACTGCTTTCAGCTTCATTAGAAATAATAGCTTCAGAACTCGTCCCAGCAGTACATTGTGAAATAACCCCCTGTCCCTGTCATTTCAGATATTTTTTTAAAGAATCTGCCAGTTTTAGGAATTTTTCCTTCTTCTGTAGTTTGTGTTTCCGATATTGATAACCAGATAATCGTTTCGTTTTTCTGTCCTAAAATTCAAAATCTATAAGTTAGAATAGGTATTTCAAATTTAAATTTTAGAATTTTTTCATTATACAGGGTGAGGCACCACATACGACACGGTCTCTGTACGGCAAACGCCTTAAGATATAACATATCTATCTTAATATGGTATACATGTCATTTAACACTACGTTTTAAAATTATTTTGAAATATACAGGGTGTTCCAGATAAGTGTGCCATATCAAATGGAACACCCTATATATTTTCGTAATTTTGAATTCTCCTTGAAGAGCTGATTTCGCAGATACCACATACTTACGGTCTAAATTAAATATTTACAGAGATAGGGTGTTAAAATCACCTATTTTTCAACTTTAGGTTAATGTTTTGTGAAAACTGCTGAATATTTGGCAAAACGGCTTACATCTCCCTATCCTAACTCTTCTAAGGCTACTAGATGGTGCTAAAGAAAAATTAATACAGTGTGGTCAAAATTTTTTTGACTGCATTGTATTAATTTTTTAGTAATATGAAGATGCATTTTGATGAACCTTTTCTTTTATATTATTTTTAATGTAGGTAGGGGTAGCCGACAAAGTAAACATTACCATTTTGAAATCATAAAAAATAATAATTTTCTCATATTTTGTCCACCACACCATTTGATGCGGCCACCTAACGAACGCTATCAAAGCGTCGGCACTCGGCAGTCGCCTGTTTTTGACTTTAATCATTACTACCGACTACCGCCGGCCGGTCGTTTGTGGTTGTGGATAAGTGAAGTGGGTAATTAAATCGTCATATTTTGCCGCGGCCGGCTGCCGCCCCTTGTTTGTTAAGGTCCACGTGCCACATTTTAAAACAGTAGACATTTTTATTACAATAAAGCTACCACCTTACTTTTTTGCCAGACTAGTCGGTGCGCGCTTTCGGCAAGAAGGGACCATTGCTGTGGCGGCCTACGGCCGCCCTAAATTTTGGCCGCCTGTGTGCATTGCACACATTGCACCCATAGACGGCACGAGCTGCTTCCACATTCAGCCACACACCTTAATCAGACTCTGTACATATTTTAGAACAATAAAAAACATAGTAAGAAGTTAAAACGTACAATAAATACCATAAATTATATTTTGACTTTTACATTAATATATTATCAAAATTATTATTAGTAGCAGAAACTGAAGCCGATATGAGTATTATTGTAAGTATTATTGAAAGCAAAGTATCGATACCAAGTATTATACTTTGAATATACCTTCACTGTTTCGTGAGTTATTTTTGATGAGTAATTTTATTCATTATTTTGCTAGACGTTATAGTTTTGGTTTTTTTAATGTGTTTTTTTCTTTCGTTCTCAGAGCTGCGGAATTAATAAAAAACATAGATGATCCAAATTTCAAGACAACAATAGCCAAAATGTTACCAGTGTTCTCGGACAATCCAAAAGTTTTTAACCGTTTGATGATCTCCAATCCCGGTATACCGGATGATAAGGATCTCGCATTGAGAATGGCGGAATTCATGTCGCTGATACAATTTTTCACTATGGACGAATTAATATTCGGTCTTATTTGTGATTATAGCAAAAGATTGGTTATCTATCTCAAAGAGGATAAACGCGTTTTGACGGTATTTTGCAAAAATTCTAAAAATATAGTAATTTTGGTCAAAAGATTGAAAAAATTGAAGACTGAGTTGGCGTTAAACAATGCCATGGGATTGATTAAAGTGTTACTACTCGTTCAGGTACTCATGATTCATGATATTATAAAAAGAAGGTATGATAATATTAAGCAGATTGATACTACGTCACGGTGACGTATTGTGGTGGAAAGGCGTAGCTTTTACGAATTTGAGGTATCAGCTAATCGAAAACAGCGCAAGAAAATAAATTTGCGTATGGCCATATTCCACACCATAATACGTCATGCGCAAACTTGACGAGATTTTGTCGGCTAAGTATAATACCCCTGTAATTTTTTTGTATCATGCTCATGATTCATACATAATATATTGACCATGGTAGCCCAGTACAAGTACATAAATAATACAGTAGCGACAGCGTGGGTAGGCTGCTTTGATGTCGAAGTGGTCAGTTGCAATGAACTAGAGTGGCGTAGAAAGTCAATGTGAATATTGTATCAATAGAACAAGATGGGACTCTATGGGCGCAGCCATTTTTATTGCTCATCTCACTCGGGACCATTTATAATAACGACTTTCTGTTTCAAATTGTTATTGTTCAATCCACAAGCTGGTGGATCAGACAATAACAATGTGAAATAGAAAATGGTTATTATAAATACTCCCGCGTGAGATGAAAAATAACCTCTCTGCGTCCATAGAGTCGCATGTCAAGCCTATTGACAAGCATTCTACCCTACTCCAGTTCATTGGGTCAGTTGCGATTTGTATCGTTTGTTTCTACACTGAGAAAAGAGAAAAACTACTTTGTTTGAAAAAAATATTACACAATAAATAAAAGAACAAAATTAAGTCTAACAAATATCTTAAAATATGCACTACAAACAATCAAAACAATCAATCGCTATTAATAGAATGACAATTAACGCACTCCGGTTTGACGTATTCGCAGCTTATTTAGGACATGTCTAGAAAAACTTGAATCCTTCATAAACAATGAAATGTCGCTACTGTGTTAATACTTACCTATACTGGGATGGTAGTAACTATATATAGTTAAATCCGCAAATAATAGGTAGTAATTGAATATGTAAAGTACGTTATCATCTGTGATATGCCAAAATTCTGTTGAGATTTCTGTTACGGGGCAAAAGAAAATTTTTCATCTACATACGGCAACTCTGTCAAGCATTCTTCAAACATTTCTGACATTTTATTACTGCCTATTATTTCCGGATTCAACTATATACAAACTATATTATAACACTTGTCGATAGTTTGACGTGACGACAAAACAATAAAGTTTTTGTGTTTTGACAACTATGATGGCCGTTGTTTTGGCAACAAATAACAAATACATTACGATTGATACTAGGTCACGATGGGGTATTGTGGTGTGGAGGCGTCGCGCGTCGCTTCTTCAAATTTGAGGTATCAGCTGATCGAAAGCAACGCACGAAAATTAATATTAATCTACTCATTGCCAATCACACTGCCATATTCCACACCACAATAGGTCTTGTGCGAGCCTGGCGAGATTTCGTCGGCTAAGTAGTTATCATACTTCTGTAATTTTTTTGTATTATGCATATTGTTAGCCACCATTTTTTTGACGCAATGACTTTCATCATTAATGTCAACCTTTTATTTTGCAGAAACGAAACCACATAAGTATAGAAGACTCGATAGAAATCGATTTTGCATACATTCTCAAGGGATCCTCGATTAAAGTCGAAAAATGCCTCGATGTACTTTTCCTTTTAACAACCCAACGATTATTTATCAAACTAACCCCTGAATCAATCTTTTCGATATTTGTCAGGCTATTTTCCCTTTGCAACAATCCAGATTTGACGGTGAAGTCTTTGATTTGCCTAACAGAAATGTTGAAAGCCAATAAGTGGTTGGCCACATCGTCTATCACGAACTTTTTTGTGGAAAACCACTGCAGCCTGGCTGTAGACGACAAGTCTTGTCACGAATTTGTGGTGTTTTTGGGTGTGTGGATTAAAATTTTGAAAAATTGTTTGGAGGCTGATAAGAAATTTTATTTGGCGCATACTGGAATTATTAGAAATTACATCAAGCGGGTGGATGGCTTGCCACAATCGAGGGTAACTAGTTTTTAATAGGGGCGATATATTCATATAATGTATAACTAAAATTTATTTATTAATAGGAGATGGGTAGAAATATATTGAAAAAAATGAATTTATTATTTTTTCTAGTAAATTTTTTAAGATGGACTTTTCTAAAACCGCAGTTTATTCAAATATATTTAATTAATCTTCATCAAAATTTTTCTACAGGTTTTTTGTATGATTTCGAATTTTTTTAATATTTGATATTAAAGTACATTTTTACAGATGAGCGTGCCATATTATATAAACGCATAATTGGACTTTATCACCTCGCCATTTTAAAACCATAGCTAGGATATTAAATTTCCGTCTTCAACAAAATATTTGTGTGTTTTGTAAGATTAAGGATAATTTGAGAGAGTTTTAATACCTAGTTATAATCTAGTTAATTTTTAAATGTAGCCGTGATTCATTTCTAATATCGCATAATTAGGACTGTCATTCCACAGTTTTAAAACCAGCAAAGATTATTGTTATCTTTAACAAATTATTTTTACAAGTATTTTGTAAGATTAAGGTGAATTTGTGATAGTTTTATTACCTAGTTTTATTCTTTAAGATGGCTGTGTTTCATTTCTAAAAACATAATTTGGCTCTTTCTCTCTCTTTCTCGCGCGCGCACACACACACAAGCGCTGCTGCTGTACTGAAATCTAAAATTATCTTGAAACTAGGAATATTATCTTTGAGTTGATGTAGAACAGAAGTAAAAGTTGGAAAGGCTTTTGCCAGTTCTCCCACTTTATACACATAAATTGACAGATTTGCTGCGGATCTCACCGAAGTGGATGCGATACATTGGCGTACAAAATTATTTTATAGATGTTAATAACAATTTTGAGTAAATAGTTTAATAAATTGTAAATAGCTGTTGAAATTTTGTAAAATTATGATTTGAATATTATAATACAATTTAAAATTACTTATTCTATGAAACGACACTGGCAGATAAACATTACTGCGAAATTCTCGAAGCCGTCCGACGTGGTTTGACGTTTACCCCCTCTCTACCTACCAAAAGCCTTTCCAACTTTTACTTTCCCTATATATAATAAAGAAAATTATTGACATTACATAATTTAGCTCTATCTGTCTCTCTCTCTCACACATACACACAAGCGCTGCTGCTGTACTGAAATTATCTTGAAACTAGGAATATTATCTTAAATATATATAATTGAACTTGAACATAGACATAGATAGGTTATTTATTACTACTTTTTCTTTTTTTACAGGTGAATTATTTATTAAAATCTCTAAACCGAATTAATAGAATCAGCTTTTCAAGTGGATTTCATTTATTATAATTTGTTGAAGATTTTAATGTAAAATATAAGGACGAAAATAACCTTTCCTATAATGTTAATTTTTTTCTTTTGTTAATACTGTTGTTTATCTGTTACTGATGTAAATCCATGAATGTTGTTAATTTTTAGAATAAAACAGAGTCGGTATTATCTCAGCAAGTTTTTTAACATTACCTCAATAACCACGCCTTTATTTTTTTATTTCAATTAAACAAAACCGCGGAAAATTTGGTAGGCACTTGCTAATGAGTTACAAACAAAATGTTGAAAAAGGAGTAAATTAGGCATTCCAACGACCTGTCAAACAATAACTGCTAGTGTGAATGGCTTTTATATCTAAGGAGGTTGCGAGATAGCATTCCACCTTGGACACTATTTTTATTCGAAATAGTAGTCGCCAAGTCTGCCAATTTATAAAAATTGTAAAATATATTTTTTTAAATACTATTTTCATTGTATTTGACATAAAATGTTTAAATTTAATTCATTATTCATGATTTCACGTAATGTAAATAGAATACATCGTATGTCGCAACCCTTTAGACATACTATTGAGTAATAAACGTATTTATTATTATTATTATTATTATTATTATTATTATACTAATCCTTCCCATCGACGGTTCTTTTGTTTGGAATGCCTAAACAGGGGATATGGAAGTTAAATTAAATCAACACAAACGTCACTAAACTTTAACATTCCAGTAATTATTTTCTAGTCATTACATTCTGGATAGAACAAAAGAGTATAGAGCTATTTTTGAAACATATGTGGTATTTTAATAACTCGTTCTACAATAGATTTTCTATTTTAAAAGAAGCTATTCACGAGAAAGTCCTCGACTATAATTAGAAAAGTGTTACAGTTAAGTTACTGCCAGTTGACATAGGGGTTTTTTGTCTTACGAAGAGTGTATATTTAGACAAAAAAGCTTTATGATATCTTGCGTCTAAGTTTAGACAGTGCTATCGACACATATAGGACGTCCCGCTGAAAATAAATTTAATATTTACATCTCTCTACAGTTGATGATGAATGTTGTTATCTTTCTGCCAGACTTTACTGACATTTCCTTCGTTGGTGGTGGAGTATCACGGTGTTACCGCTGCTTTGACTGTTCTTTGGATTTTTGAGTACAGTTGAGTTAATTTTATTTTATGCCATTTCACTTTTAAAACAACATCAAAAGAATCTAGCGGTGAGCAAGCATAACGCTGGACTTTAATATATGATTTGTTATATAATTTAATTAGATCGTATTTTGTTTGCCTACATTAGATACAGGGAATACCTTAAAAGGGAATAAACAAATTTTATAAAATACTTTTTTTTATAAAAGGTAATTTGAGTTCAATAATTCTTTAATAATTAAATGCTTTGTTTGTAAAATGGATTAAGGAGGTCCTTTCGCCACCCCTTTCGCCACCAATGTTAAATAAAAAATATTAGATTATGACTAAATTTTTTTTTTTTTTTAATAGTTGAAGTCCTTATTTATCTAATAGTGAACTTTTAACTATACCTTACCGTGCAAATTTTTGAGAAATTTTTTTTTCAAAATGTGAGTATTTGTATAGTGTCTTTCGAGAAAGTAAGACCTCAACAACAATTCTCGAATTATACTATTATTTATTGATTAGATGGAGTAGAAAAAAACTAAAAATAAGGTTTTTGAAATATTTAGGTTTTGTTTTTTACAATAAAATATATAGGTTACCGTGGAATTTATTGAGAAATTAATATTAAAAAAAAAATTCAAGTAACCTAGTTGAAAATGTTTTGTTGTGATTTTTTAATATTAATTTCTCAATAAATTCCACGATAACCTATATATTTTATTGTAAAAAACAAAACCTAAATATTTCAAAAACCTTATTTTTAGTTTTTTTCCACTCCATCTAATCAATAAATATTAGTATACTTAATTATAATTCGAAAATTGTTGTTGAAGTCTTACTTTCTCGTAAGACACTGTACAAATACTCACATTTAAAAAAAAAAATTCTCAAAAATTTGCACGGTAAGGTATAGTTAAAAGTTCACTATTAGATAAATAAGGACTTCAACTATTAGAAAAAAATTAATTTTAGTCATAATCTAATATTTTTTATTTAACATTGGTGGCGAAAGGACCTCCTTAAGTAAACCGAAAAAAACAAATAAAAATAATAAAATAAAGCATTATCATTACCGCTGTCGTCTTCACTTGACGTGTCTTCCAGATTTATGATGCAAGAATACATCAGAAATATTCGACAATTATTTTCAATATTCTTGACATAGGTAGCGAACACAGCTGGTCCATATTACTGGGGAATTACTGCAAAAACTACTCGTATGACATCTAACACACTTTGAGACACCGTGAGTGACATTTATTTTTTTTACCTCCCCCTTGATATTACTCCAAATCCATTCGATAGGATTGAATCTGTAATAATATGGTGGCAAATGTATAACGGTATGACCGAATCTTTTAGCTATCTCAACAACATATATGGGTTTAAGATTTAATCCCTTCAGCATAGCCAGCACATCTTTTTTTAAAGCTGTGGGAGGATATGTTACACCCATATTATTTAAAAATGAAGATATAACATATTTGCGAGCTTTCGATATTTCACCTGTTCGTCGTGAATGGTACGGGGGCATTATCCATGACTACAACCGCATTTGATAGAAAATTCTGTATCAGTTGATTTGTTGTTGAAACTATCTTGATGATAATCTGTACAGCAATTCAAGATTTTCTTTGCCGATAATAGCAAAGAATTTGCTACAAAAGCACTTTGCAGACGTGAAAACTTTCCTCTATTTAGAGAAGCATTAAGGGAACACTTAGAGGATTCTTCACTCCATCACGAGAATTCAGTTTCAGGTATATACATATTTTAAATTTAACAGGTTAATTGCCATGTGAAACATATAATTCACTCAGTCTCACCACCAGGATGATGTGTGATTTGTAAACCGCGTACATTCACTGGAACGCAGCAGTAGAACAGAAGTAAAAGTTGAAAATGCTTTTGCCAGTTCTCCCACTTTATACCACTGATCTGTCTTTATACACATAAATTGACAGGTTGGCAGCGGATCTCACCGAAGTGGACGCGATACATTGGCGTATAAAATTATTTTATAGATGTTAATAACAATTTCGAGTAAATAGTTTAATAAATTGTGAAAAGCTGTTGAAATTTTGTAAAATTATAATTTAAATATTATAATACATGTTTAATAATTATTTATAATCCATAAATACATGCGATTGTCCGGTTCCGCCGATAACAATTTAAAATTACTTATTCTATGAAACGACACTGGCAGGTAAAAATTACTATGAAATTCTCGGAGCCGCCAGACGTGGTTTGACGTTTACCCCCTCTCTACCTACCAAAAGACTTTTCAACTTTTACTTTCTCTGTATATGTGATCGCGATAGTCTCTATTTTTTTACGATTTGGGAAATATCGCTCAGCTATACAAATAATTAACCAACACATAAATTAAACAAATATTTTTTTATTGGCTTTAGTGTTAAAGGTTTGTATAAAGATTACAAAGTAAAAAGGCAACGTAAATATATAAAATATTTAATAATAAAACAAAAAATAAAAATCTGATGTGTCCAACACATGACTTTCCTGTTTAGTTATTACATGCTTTTTCCGGTTATTTTGTACAGCCTATTGTATAACCCCTGTAAATGTTTAGAGAATGAACTAAATATATACTTTTTTCAAATATATCTTACTAGAAACATTTTTTTATATATATTCATTGTCAACGAAAATACTGAAAAATTTTAATTTTACACTTTTTCTCAAATTTTTCCATTACGGTCCATTTCAGAGAAATCATGTATTAAACAAAAATTATAGAGATCGATATCGCAAACAACTTTTAATTTAACAATTTACTTAAAAATTAGAATTTTGCATGTTTTTTCAAATTTCTCGAATACGGACCATTTTAAGAAAATTATGTATATGACAAAAATTATAGGGAATAACATTACAAGCGTAAATAATAGATATATTCCATAAAGTAAAAAAAACGTCCTTCTATAAAGTATCCCCCAGATTTTCCGACTATGCCCAAAAATTTTACCGCTGGATAGATCGAAGGCTTAATTTAAAATTTAGTGTTTTTCTATTTATCCGTTTTTGAGTTTTCTACAAAATTCGAAATTTACACTTATTCTCAAATATGATAGCACAAATAACTTTTATTTTAATAATTTTCTTAAAAATTTGAATAAATAAATGTTTTCTTGTTAAAATAATCACCATTATTGATTGTTTCTATGTAAAAAGGATTGAAAATCCCGATGCGTTGTTATAGTCCATTCGTAAAAGAAACATGGGTTAATTTATCCTGTACGACACTTCTCAGAGCGAAGCCATCCTGGGCCGTAGCTCCAAAATTAAAAGACCGAGAAACTGTTTGTGTGTCAAACATGAAAATTTCGGATTAAAATTCAATAAGTGTTAAACTTAGTTGTGAACTGTAATCAAAAAACTGCATTGTAAGAACTGATTAAAACTATAGACATTTTATGTACAAATCCTTTTTCAATAAATAAATAACTATCATTTATAAAACTCGTTTATTATTTTAATGTACCCTTTCTTAAATTATCTAATCTATATCAATATCGTTAGTTGGCAAATAGTCGTATCATTCCGGGAACGCGTAATCATTTTCGAGAACGTTACTAAAATTACGTAAAACACAGAATATTTTAGATATCTTCACTAAAAAATACCGTAATTTTATCAAACACCTTAATTCTGTAAATATTATAAAAAAATATTGAAATATTTATATTTCTTAAGTTGTACATAAATATAACAAAAGTTTTTGGATGTATTTTACTTGAAAGGGGTTTTGTTTTTTTTTTTTTTTTAATTAATTGTTTTTTTAATATACACCTACGCCATTGTGTAAAGAAAAACAAAAAGCATACTTAGGCATTTTTTAACTTTACAAAAACGCTCCCGAAATGACCATTTGTAGCGAAAGTATTATTTAAAAGCATATTACAAAAAAGTAATTAATTCTATGCTTGCCCCATGAAAACATTATTAAAACACAAGTTAAATGACAATATAAACTAATATTTATGATTGTATTTCGTAATAATTTTTGTCATAAAACCAATCTTGAAATTTGCGACCTTGGTGATTTTGAGCCAATTACGAACACACGCACGCCGGATTTTTTTATATATAGATATAATTAAATTTAAAAAATATTGAGAGGTGTTGGATAATTGAACATTTGGGATTATACGTTTTTATTATGTGAGAAATCCAAAATAAAAAAAATTAGTCGAAGAATTAAAAAGTCTAGATTTCGACAACAGCCGTCACCTATCGGCTCCAACTATAGCTAAGAAACATCTAGGAGACCCCATAAGTATGTACCAAAAAAAAATCCAAATCGGTGAAGCCGTTTAGAAGAAAAAGAATTACGAATACACGCACTCCGGAATATAAAGATGATATTAGAAAACATAACTGTGATAAATTATCTTTAATATAGTTTACTTAATTTATGTTATTTTTCAACGGTGTGGTAATTACTGGCTGGACTAACTTTCCCTACCCTATGGAGGAAGGATAAAAGACAATTCGAATGATCCCCCCCATATCCTATCCTATGGCGAAGGATAGTCGAACCTGACGACAAAATTTTAAGTAATTTCAAGAATTATTATTCACAACGGCAACCACGCTTTAAAATAACAGCCAGCGATCTTACGGAGTAAAGGAATTGCCAACATTTAAACCGCTAAAAGCACCAGTTTATATATCGAGCGGAAACAGTCAAAATATAATTAAATCTTTACAAACTACTTATAATTTAAATAAACCGAAAGTGCGCGGTTATAGAAAAGATAATTTAAGACTGTGAACGGTAATTTAAAAGAAGATTTTAAATTGTTTAATCATTGAAATTAGCAGCATTTAAATTTGGCAACGGCGCAAACCACTTCTGCTATTTCTGTTCTTATATTCTTTTCACCAATCACGATCAGTTCAAGTTTAGTCGCGACCGGTATGACTTCGTAGAATATTTTTTTGTTTTCCAGTGTTTTTTTTTCTAGTGTGTGATTTGTGCAGAGTGCGATGTACTCGTAGGATATGGCCGAACAGCACCGTGAACCGCCCGAACGTGAATTGGAACAGCAAATCCTGCTGATAAAAAAACAGCAGCAACTCCAGCACCAGATCCTGCTGCAGCAGTTTCAGCGCGAGCAACAGCATTTGGTGGAGCAACACGAGCAGCAGCTGCGTCAGCATTTAGAACAATTTTGGGAAAGACAAAAACAGTTGAAACTCAACGAGATTAGGCAACGTGAGCAGCTGGAAGTGTTGCGGAAAAAAGAAAAACATGAGGAAAGCGCGGTGGCCTCGACGGAAGTCAAGCAGAAATTGCAGTCGTTTTTGCGACAGCGGGCTTCTGGGGGCAAAATTAGGCCGGACAACTCATGCTGGTGAGTTTTTAAACTTGATTTTTAAGTTCAAAGACCAAAGGATAACAGATAACAGCTGATTCGGTGGATTCCCATGACTGCCAACCTTAGAGACTGTCGAATTATTTTTGTTTGTAAACATTCCACATTCCATAATAGTGGGTGACAGATTTTCGTTCGAATTACATTTTAACATTCAGAAATTAATTTAAGAGCAAACCGAACACCTTGAAAATGTATAATTCCTTCTGAGCAAACTGAGCCTTTACTTTTAGTTCAATTTTTGTGAAATTTCCAGGAAATACCAGTATGTAATAAATTTTTTTTTTAAAAGTAAGTAATTAAAAAAAAACAATTACGCGCCATTCTGTATTAAATCTAAAAATTTGTTGCTTTTTTGTTTTGATATAATAATAATAATAATAATAATATCGCGAAGTAGGTATTCTCAGTGGCGCGGTTATAAATACAATTTTATATTAGAAAATTGTTAAAACATTTTTGCTTTTACGAGAGGTCCAGTTTGTTCTTAATTAAAGTAATTAAGATAATAGTATTATGGAAAATTAAACTGAAAAAATTAGAAACCTTACCTAATTATATGCTCAAAAACGTTTCAAATTTGAAATTTACATAAAAAAAAATTCATCGTTTAGCACACATTTTTTAGTGTTGCCTTTAACCACCCATCTTTCAATGATCAACAAACTAAGAATATAATTCCACCTCGAATTCCACTACTTAATCTAAAATAACATATTTGTCGTCATTCGGTCCAATCTCAACATTGATAGGTCAAGCAAGGACTAGAAACATAACTGAAAACTACTTTTCATAGAACTGATGCTCTAAAGGGTCTAAAGTGATAGCACGAGTGATAGTGATATTTGTCATTTTTACTCCTGAGGTTTGTTGCAACATAAACCAAATCAGTTTACATACTGTCAGTCTGGAATTCGTGTTCCAACAAACTTCAGATGTAAAACTGGTACAAAAACCAAGTGTTCCAGGTTTTCATACCGTTTTTAACACAATCAAAACTAATCACAAACCGATTTGTGTACTGTCAAATCAGTTTCTGGGTCTGAATAGGAATGAACTGTCAAGACAGGTGCAAAGCCACAATAACTTGAAACTTTTGTGATTCATTTCTGACAGCTCTGATTTGTATTTGTCAATCGAATTCAGTTTTCATAGTTTTTTTTCTTTTTCAATATAATTTATTTTATTTTGTGGTTTATTATTGTAATAGAGAGTCTGTTGAATTTATTAAAAATGTATTCCAACATAACCCAGTCTGAGTTGAATCCCAATCCCTGACAAGTTGTCAATTAGGTACTAGTTGTCGACAGATTGTCAACAATAAGTCATTGACTGGTTTATGTATGATTCTAAGATTGTTGTTCGAACAAACTTTAAGTACATGTAGGTAATTTTAAAAATGTGTTTTTTTTTTTTGTAATATATTTTGCATTGTTTGTAATTTGGAGTGTTTTATGCTTGAAAATAATACTTAACTGTATTGACAATCACTGGCTCAAATATTATGTTTGTGCTTTTATTAATTGAGTAGCTATACCTAAATTACTTATTCAATGAGAGGTGAAACATTGTAAAATAAATTAATACATTAAGGAAGCAATTAAAAATTTTGTGAGATCATTTGGGTATAAAGTAGAAACATGATGTCAAATTTGTCAAAAGTGTTAAGTAGTTATAACCTTTAGGCAGAACGCCATTACTTAATATTTTTTCATGGGGTAAATTTCTATGGAATTCTGATACATCTAACAAGAATACCTTCACAAGTCCTGAAATTCTCCTTAGAAATTGATGAAATTCAAGATGAAAATATTTTAGAACATTAAAAAAATTATGATTTATCAAATTCTTGGGAATAAAACCCGACAAATGTAACAACCAGTTCAGTGTGGAACCCTTTGTGGGAACAATAATTGAACAATGGTAGTTATATTGCCCATATATGGAAATTCGAGAACAATGGTTCTTAGGTATATAATAAAATTCTTAAAAGAAGAACTAAATCGATTTTAGTGACTAAAGCAGAAAAAAATACTTATCTTTTTTGGAAAAGTAAACTGAGGGGATGGAGATTTCATGTAGATCCGTGGAGATATGTGGAAAGCCATGGAGATCCGTGGATATACATGGATGTCTGGTGAAAATCCGGTGGAGATCTGGTAGAAATACGTGGAAATCCAAGAACTTTGGCCGCAGTCGTGTAGAATCGGAAAATCGTAATTGTTTGAGCACATCATTTTAACTGGTATTATGGCCTGGTTCAGTGTTGCCAGGTCTACCGTTTTTCCTTTTATCTTAGAGACAGTTTATTTTGTTTCCTCAGATACTATCTTTGAACTTGAGAACTTGAATATCTAATTATGTTACTATGTTTGTCACTCGGTTTGTCATTTACTTCCTGTTTATATTTTTTTTTTGTACCTATATTAAAATTTGACTATTTAGTAAGATACACATTTAAGATAGGTATGGATTAATTAATTTATAAAAAAATCGTTATTTCTCTAAGTATTACAGTATCCTGATGATGGCTTAATCGAGGGCTTAATAGCTGAAAGCCCTTAACTTATTAATAAAAATATACATATTTGAAAATACCTCTCTTCGTTCTTTCTTTTCCTTATTTCGAGTAGAAAGCTTTTGTTGTGTTTTGCCCTGTTTGCACATCCTCGGCTATTGTCTTGGCTGTGACAAATTTCTGTGAACAACAATAAAGTTTACCTTCTACTCCTAGTAACATAATATAAATTCTTACTATTTAATTATGAAATTTGTTATTTGTAATGTAACATATAATATCTCAGATTTTTTCACAGAAAATATATCAGTTACTTAAGTATTACTTATTTAGAAATTCCCTTGTGAAATTCAAGGAAAGATATTAAACCATCTATAGTTCATTAGTTTTCATTTGCTCTGAACTCTTGGCTATATTGTATGGCCTAGACACATACGCCCTAGGGCCATTGTGGGTAGCATTGCAATCTGTGAACTTTTTTAAACATTCTCTGGTGACGCCCTGGTCTCTGGACTATGCTGTACAGCCTAGACACATGCGGTCTGGACTAATATGGCCTGGAACCTTTGCGGGTTGCTTCACAACCAGTTACTTTTTTAAACCACATACAGCTTCAATCTAATCTCTCAACTACCCTGAACATCCTGGACCTATACATCCTTAAAATTGACTAATTTATCTAACCTGCGCGGCCTGGAGCCATCGATAAGATCATTTTACCTTTCTACTCCCAGAATGAACATCATGATGAACTCTCCCTTAAATAGAATGTTCATTGATTTTAACGAAAATACTAAAGGGATTGACCTATTCTTATGTTCATTAAATCAGTTTAAGAATATAATCAAAATATTATCATAAATTAGCCGGTTTCCTTATCATTCTGTCTTTATTTCATTACATGGTTCATGTTTGTCTATTTTCGTCTATTTTTGTTAAACTTGGATAATATTCATTACTATTCTTAATTGTTTATTTTTATTATTATGTATACTTGTTTCAGCCTTATTAGTATTTAAGCTGTCCTGTAATTGGGTGTAGGTACCTAATCCTGTTTGGACAATAAAGAATTGTTTATTACATCTGTTAGCAGACAAATATTACAAGTATTGAATTTTCCTCTACATTGTCTTACCATTGCCCACTCTCATTTACCAAACTTTTTACTGTTATATACTTTTTTTTTTACTATTTTGGCAAAACCACATCGATAGAAATTTCAATTTTCATATTTTTGTAATGTTTATTTATTTTAAAAAGTTTATTTGTTTAATTTATTTGTACTAACATTCTATAATTTATATTTCAAACAATTGATCTTTACACAATAAATTCTTTCTATTGACTGAATTCTCCAACAACTTAGATTATTTATATAAAATGGCGAAGGTTCTAGACGTTTCCACCAATTTCCTCGTCCATATTATTACAATATGACACCTTCACCAAAAGTTGCAATTTAGTATCATCAAACATTCTATTGTGTTCTAGACTAATGATCAGTGATGTCCATAGGCGCCAGCCAGTTTTGATGCACTACCTTCCGTTTAGCGTTTGGGATTTTGCTTAATATGGTAAATGATATCTTTTTTTTTTCTGATGAGATACGGACCTTCTCAAGACCTTTGAAACTTCGAAGAATAACCCTTTTGTCTTTTTGGGTGCTGGAGCTAGACTTTGTCGCATTCCTTGATACATCCTTCTGTGGCTTGCATATATGGGTTTCTTAATCCTATTTGAAGATGCAAATGAACCAAGTCATGCAAGTCTTCCATTTTTTTTTTTTCATAAGTGGATCTTCACTAGCTACATCTTCTCCAGGTTGCCATCCAAACTCGAGGTCGCACGATAGTCTCATCTCGCGCCTGCACAGAAATTTTGCTGGTGTTTGACCTGTTGATTCATTGACAGTAGAACGAACTATAGGCAATTGCGAAGAGCGAAAGATACTAAACCCAAACTTGCTGATGGTTGGAAACCACTTATTCGCTCTACCATTCCATTCGATTGTGGATGTAACACTGTAGTTCTGAATTTTTTTGGAAAAGCTGGCTTTCAAAATTACTGCCTTGGGGGCGTCCATTAATTACGTGAGGTGTTCAAGGGGGGAGGGGATCAAGCTAAATCTTTTCAAATCTCACTTGGGGGAGAGGGGGGTCTTTGTAAATCTGACGTATTTTTTTTCTAGTAGAAAACGGTGTAAAATTGCGTGAAAATTAAATTAAAGTAAAGAATGTTTCTAGAAATTTTTAGTCTTAAATAAAAGTAATAAAACATTGTGTTTGTTTTTTTAATAATCCAACGCATTTACACCCAAAACACAAATTTTGAAAAATCTAACGAGAGATTAGGGGAGGGGGGAGAGTGTTGAGGAAAATCTTACGAAATCTCACCAGGGGGGGAGAGGGGTCAAAAAATCCTCAAAAATACCTCACGTAATTAATGGACGCCCCCCTTGGTC